AAAAAAAAAAAAAACAGAAAGAAAATCCTAAGGAACCCACAAATAAACTATAAAGGCTAATAAACAGATTCAGCAAGGTTGTAGGATACAAAATAAATATATAAAATTAACAGTATATATACTAGCAATGAATAATCCATAAATGAAACTGAGAAAACCATTTCATTTACAGTAGTATCAAAAAAGTATAAAATACTGAGGAATAAATTCAACTAAAGTACAAGACCTGGATACTAAACTACAAAACACTATTGAAGAAAATTAAAGAAAACCTAAATAAATGAAAAGACATCCCACTGACTGGGGAAAAAAAATTGTTAAATTGCAACACTCTGCACATTGATCTACAAAGTCAATGTAATCCCTATCAGAAAACCAGGTGTGCTTTGGTTTTTGTTTTTTGTTTTTTGTTTTTTTGCAGGCATTGACAAACTGATCCTAAAATGCACTTGGAAATGCAAACGACCCAGAATAGCTAAAACAATTTTTAAAAAGAACAAAATTGGAAGATTCAAACTCCCAATTTTAAAACTTTCTACACATATACAGTAATCAAAATTGTGTGGTACTGGCGTAAGGACAGACACAAAGATCGGGTGATTTTGGACAAAGATGCCAGTACAATTCAGTGAGGGAAGAATAGTCTTTTCAACATACTGTAGTGGGACAACTGGATGTCCACTTGCAAAAAAAAAAAAAAAAACCACAAAATAAAGTTGGACCCCTTCTTTACACCACACAGAAAAATTAACTCAATATGATCAAAGACCTAAGTGGAAGAGCTAAAACTACAAACTCTTAGAAAACATAGTTGTAAATCTTTGTGACCTTGAATTATGCAATAATTTCTTAAATATCATACCAAAACCACAAGCTGCCAAAAAAAACAACAGATTAGACTTTATCAAAATTAAAAATTTCTGTGCTTCAAAAGACACAACCAATAAAGTAAAAGGACAACCCAAAGAATGAAGAAAATATCTGTAAATCATATACCCAATAAGTATTCAGAAAATATAAACTCTTACAACTAACTGAACAACAACAACAAAAATATACATGGGCTTAAATAGACACAAATGATCTGAACAGGTATTTTTCCAAAGAATGTTTAACTTAATTAGCCATTATAGGAATGCAAATCAAAACTACAATGATATATCACTTTACACCCCTATGATGGCTATGATGAAAAAGATGAACAACAGCAAGTGTTGGTAAGGATTTGGAAAAGTCAGAACCTCATACTTTGCAGGTGGAAATGTAGAATGCTGCAGCCACTGTGAAAAACAGTTCCTCAAAATGCCAAACATGGACTTAGCATGTGGTACCGCAATTCCACTACTAGATATATACCTAGGGGAAATGAACATATGTGCACACAAAAACTTGTACACAAATGTTCAGAGCAGCATTATCATAATAGCCAAAAAGGAGATACAAACAACCCAAATGTCCATCATCTGATGAGCTGGTCAACAAAATCTGGGATATCTATATGATGGAATATTATTCAGGCTTAAAAGAACTGATTTGGGCTGCAATATGAATGGACCTTGAAATCATTATACTAACTGAACGAAGGCAACATATTATACTTCATTTTTATGAAATGTTGAGAATAGGAAATTCCATAGACACAGAGGGCAAATCAGTGTTTTCCAGGGGCTGGAGGGAGGAGGTAATGGGGAGTGCCTGCTAATGGGAATGGGGTTTACTTTAGGAGTGATAAAAATGTTATGGAATTAAATAATGGGAGTGATTACAAAAGTTCATGGATATCCAAAAGCCCACTGAATTGTACACTTTTAAAAGATTAATATTATGTACACTTTTAATATTAATATTAATATTATGTACACTTTTAAAAGATTAATATAATTAATATTAATATTATATCTCAAAAAAAAGAAGGGGGATCTGATCTCCTGTACCCCAAATCCTAGTCTTCTTTCCTGGAAAAACTGTTATTTGTTTCTTGGGTGCCATTCCTGAAATAGACTGTATACATACAAACATGCATTCATGTATGTATAGGTCCCTTGTTAAAAACAGAAATATGAATATAGCAGATACATTGACCTAGAGTTTTTTCTCTCGCTTTAAAATATAACTTCAAGTACATTCCTCTTTACAATATAACTAAGTGATTATTCCATTTCAGCATATGTAAGTATCCCTCATTCCCTTCTGGTTTTCGATATGCTATGATTTAGTTTGCTAGTATCTTGCTGCTACAAATAATGTTGCAATTCATTTCCTTGTATATATTTCATTACATGCATATGAGTGGGATATGTTTCTAGAAGTTCAATTTCTGGATGAAAATGTGTTCTTTGCATTTTATTTTGATAAACTGTCATTATTGATTTAATGGCCTCCTTACTGGATTATGAGTTCTCTGAGGACATGGACCACTTCTCTTCTGTTGACCCGGCTGATCTAGATTCCAGAACATTGCCTGACATACTGCTTTATGTATCTGTAGGTGGTGAGCCCTTTGTGCTTTGATGTGCTAAGTGTCAAATGAAAATTTGAAGCTACTTCATTCAAAAAATAGACAATGATCCAGTTTATAGAGATGGGAATTGTTTGGGGGTTTGTTTTCTTTTCATTCAATTGTTTTATTTTTTCCTTTTCAACTGTAGTATGTTTTCAAAAATTGTGGGATAAGTTGCAATATGTCATTCTAAGAAACACAGAATCTTTAAATTCATCTGAAGGCATGAGCATGTTTTATTAAATAAATGTCTGCTTCTTATATTTGAGTATCCTGTATTTCAGTTATTGAAAATTGAAAAAGGGAAGGATGAGGGTTGATTTGCAACTTTAGGAGACCTAATAGCGACACCTACTGGAGAAAATGTCAGAATAAGTTTTGAATCCTTCAAATTAAAATTTTAGATCAATTTGTTTCTATTAATCAGGAAGAAACGTGATATTTTACCATAAAAGTGCTTGCAATAAATAAATATAAGTTTACAGGTTCTTTGTTGTTCTAAAAAATTATAAATAAAAATATATTCCCTTTTTTCAGGATAAAGTCATTTTGGGAACTGATTACCCCTTTCCACTAGGCGAGCTGGAACCTGGAAAACTGATAGAATCCATGGAAGAATTTGATGCAGAAACGAAGGTATATGCCTTTTATTTCCTTCCTGTTTTCCTGCTCAAATTGTGTTTGGTTTCAGAGTACTTTGATATGTGGTGTCAAAGGACAGGGAATTATTACACTTAATATTCCTAGAATTGTTACTAGATCACCAGAAATAGCTGAACTATTAAAGGTCAGGAAAAATGTTTAAAAGCTGAAAGTCAACCTAGTACAACTACATTCAGGAAGACAAGAAAGAAACCTGCAAAGAAGCATATCAAAATAATACATCTATGTTTGCATGTTAGATGAATAATAAGAAAAATGTCTAAATTTTTCATTTAATTAATATTCCTGTTACAATCGACCAACCTCAAAAATTGTAATGATTCTAGTAATTTGAATATTGGAATTGAAGTCTTGATTAACAAGGACACAAGGACCAGAACTCTTCACCTGAGACTCCTCATCCCTCTCACTTTTCCTGCTCTGAAAGAGTTTCCCTTTTATTTGAGACGGTACAAAAGGACAGGAAGCTGGGGGGTGGCTACGTGACTCCAAGTACTGTTTCTAGCTCTCCTGTCCCACAGTCCTAAACTGTACCTTTGCTCTGTTTTGCCTCCAAATGGTCTTTACAATCCATTGGAAAGTCCTGTGGAAATTTCCGAAGAGCATTTTCCTAAGGAGGCTCTTCCCCCTTATTATCTCCTCCTTTCCTCCTACAACCAAGTTTCAAACTTAGATTTCAAATAGTGGTAAAAGGTTCATTGCTTAACCTGCTAATATTTTTCTCTCACATTGGGAAACTGATTTTTTAAAAACCTCGCCCAGCCGGGCGTGGCTCAGCGGTTGAGCATTGACCTAGGATCCAGGCGATCGGGGTTCGATTCCCGGTCAGGGCACATGCCCGGGTTGTGGGCTCGATCAATGACTCTTTCATCATTGATGTTTCTACCTCTCTCCCTCTCCTTTCCTCTCTCAAATCAATAAAGATATATTAAAAACAAAAACAAATTAAAAAAAAAACAACCTGATAAAAACATTCAATAAAGTACTTAAAAACAACTGTTAAATAATGCTTTAAAATGAAATCTTTTTCTTTTCTTTTTCAGGACAAACTCAAAGCGGGCAATGCCCTAGCATTTTTGGGTCTTCAGAGAAAACAATTTGAATGACTGAATATACTACAATCTTTCAAGAGGATATTTTATTCTTGTTTTTAAATATGTATCACACATGCATACTAAAATCCTATGTTGAACTATTTTATCCAGAAATAGAATATCCTGAGTATCCTAAATTATTCAGAACAAAAATGACTCACATGTGTTTTTCGCTCTGAAAAGCAGTACAATATTTCACATGCAACCAAAAATGATTTTCCCAGCACTTTAAAAATTAATGGCAGAAATAAAACATAAAATGTCATTAATGCTTTATGTGGAGAAAGTTCAAAACCAGATTCATCCTACAGGGCTCCAGTAGGTTCTCCACTCTGAGCAAGTATATGTGCCAAGGGCCTAAATAACCCATTTTTATTCACTTTAAACACCTTCTATTGGCCCATAACTGGGCTGGGAATGCTCCAGATTCTACAAAATAAGTGATGTAAATGTTACATAACCTGTAGGAGCTTATAGTCCAAATAAGGAGGCAAGTCACATGTTCATGCAATAATTACTAAGCAGTGCAACATGAGTGTCACAGAATTTCAGTAAAATTCATCTGGACTCAAACTTTTGGGAAATTTTTCACGGAAGTTGGAACTTGGACTGAGTCTACAAGGATGAATAAGGCTTGTTTAAAGTGAAGATATAAATGGATAGGAAGGCAAAACTATGGGAACAGAGGTTTCAGTCTGACTGAGAATTTATCTATTCTGGAAAAAAGTTCCAGTCTATCATTTACTTTTACCAGAGCTACTTTAATTTAAAATACTGAGCAGAGTGTGTAAAGCCAGCTGTGGAGATTGAGCAGGGCAATACCAGGGTAGCCTTGTTCTCCTCACTTCACGTATGGTCCTACCTGGGCTACAGAAAAAGAATTTGGTTCTGAGACGAAGGATGAATATCTGTGGTTTGCATACCTCTGGCTGAATTCCAAAACCAAATATAATTTTTCAAAATTACCCTCTTGCTTTGATTTATTAATATTTCTTTTCCTTCCCATTAGCCCAGAAATATCGAGAGTATTGACATATAATTTATGCTGATATAATTTTTGCTAAGTTATGTCCATCCCATTACTTTCACTTTATTTTTATTTTGTTCATTACTCCATGTCTTTGTTGCTCCTCCTATTGCTTTCTAGACTTTATCCACCCACCACTCTGCTTATTACTCCAATCTGCGTAAAAAGGAAAACAAGGTTGAACAGAAGAGCAACAGGAAGCATGTTATTTTTTCCTTCCCCACTATTTGGGGACAATGTCCACTCCTTCTCAAATATTCTGTATTTGCGCACTTTTTAACATAATGTTTAATTACTGTTTTGTTATTTAAAGTGTCCTGATCACTTTAGTCAATATCATAGATAGATGACGGGTAGGTAGGTAGACAGACAGATAATGGGTATATTTGTATTCACAGAGTGTTTATGTGATGTGCCCAAGCTGCAGCACTGTTCCAGGCACTGGAGAAATAGAAGGAAATGAAAAGGGTGATGGATAAAGTCCTTCTCCAATGAAGCCTCCAGTCTGGAGGGTAAGAAACATAAGTAAAGGAGGGAGCGAGGAAAGAGAAAGGAGGAATGGAGAGGAGGGAAGAAGGAAAGAAGGAAGGAAATCTTTCTTATACTGATGAACACGATGAAGGAATTAAAATGAGAATGTATAGAGCGTGACAAGGGGAAGGATGAGGGACAAGACATTAAATTGTGGGACCAGAGAAAGCCTCTTTTAAAGATGACTTTAACCTAAGACTCAAATGATAGAACAGTAAAAATTAGAAAGCCCTTCTCTACACCCAGAATAAAGAGGAATTTACTCATCTTTTCTTCTAGTGCCTGCATGGTTTCATTGTCTTATAGTTAAATCTTTGATGCAATCAATGTTGGAGTTATCCTTATGTATGATGTGGGGAATGAACCTAATTTTATTGCAGCGTTATTTGTTATTGCAAAATATTAAAAATTATATATTGTCCAAATGTAGGAGACTGAACAAACTATAATACACACACATGTACACATATGCACACACACATACCGATACCTTGGAGTCAACCTTGATTCCTCTTTCCTGTCCTCCTTCTTCCTTACATTCAGTCCACCATCAAGTGTTGTTGGTTTTACCTATGACATCTCACATCCCCATAGGATGTGCCCACATCATCATCATTTCTTGCCTCGTTGTCTTACTAACATTCTTGACCCCTTAAGTAATTCTCTACCCAACTGCTAATGTGGTTTCTTTTTCTTTAAATGAAAAAAATAACTCAGAGCATATCACAAAGTTATTTTTAAAAGTCCAATGCTTCCTAGGAAACTTATAAAAACCTAAGCTCTTGACCGTGGCCTACTTATCTGCCCAACTTTCCAGCTTCATATCCTCCCTCTTTTCCCCTTGCTCACAAACTCTGCCACAACCTCTTTTCTGCATAAAATCAATAAGGAAATATCAGCTTTAAACATGTTAGACCAGTTGGACTTAACAGATATATACAGAACAGAACATTTCACCCAAAAGCAACAGAATACACATTCTTAAGTGCACATGGAGCATTCTCCAGGAAAGATCATGTTAGTCCACAAAACAAGTCTTAATAAATTTAATGAGATTTAAGTCAGATCAAGCATCTTTTCCAAATAAAATAATATGAAACTAGAAATCAATTACAAGACGAAAACTGGAAAATTCGCAAATATGTGGAAATTAAACAACATATGTCTGAACAACCAATAGGTCAGAGAAGAAATCAAAAATAGAAATAAAAAAATATCTTAAGACAAAGGATAATGGAAACACAATATTCCAAAACATATGGGGTGCAGCAAAAGCAGTTCTAAGAGAGACATTCATAGTGATAAATGCCTACATTCATAAACAAGAAAAGTCTCAAATAAACAAACCTAACTTTACCTATTGAGGAATTAGAAAAAGAACAAATGAAGCCCAAAGTTAGTAGAAGCAAAGAAATAACAAAAACCAGAGTTAAAAATACCTATTCATTGAAATTAAAGATGGCAGTGGACTGAGTGGAAGCTACGCTGACACTCTCCTGGGACCAAACTGGAATTACAACTAAAATATAGAAAAACCACCCTGAATAATCAACTGCAACTGAAGACGAGCTGAGGAGCACCCTCATAACCAAGGAGGAAAAGTGGAGACCACATAGAGACTGGTAGGAAGTACAGAGGCATGTGAGGGCTGGTTGGGCTCCCACAGGCAGCAGCTGAAGGTCCACAGGGATATCTCAGCTGTGGGGGGTTCCCATTGAGAACTCTGGGATCTAAACCCCAGGCTTGGCTCCCCAGCCCAGAGCAACAAAACTGAGAAAGGTGCTCACATAACATCTGGTTATGAAAAGCAGCCAGGTTTCTGTCTGCCAGGGAGAGATGGCTGGAACTGCAGGCACCCTCTTAAAGAGCCAACACACAAAGTTTCATGTGCAGCCACTCACCTTGGACTCCAGCAGAGGGAGGGCAGAGTGGACTGGAGCTATGTGAGGAGAATCTAGGGTTTCGGGCTTTGGAAATAGAGATCAGAAGGCACCCTTCTGGATTCCTGTGGTGAGTCATTCCTCCATACTGCAGAGGACATCTTTCTCAGACATTTTGTTGCTTTTGCCTGGAGGGGAAACAATTGCCCCACCCTGCTGTAAAACCTCTCACCCTACCCAGAGGAGTTTCCACAGCCTGAGGCTCTTTAAGAGAATCAGATTAATCAGCCTGCAGGCAGAGGCAGACCTCAGAGTGCTTTGAATCTTAGCCTAATCTGTTTCTGGAACTGGGCCTTGGAAAAGCAGACTTTGGTGCGAATCTTGGTCCTGTCCAACCACACCCAGCCCCAGCAGAGGAGTCCTCAAGCCGAGGGTTGTTGATAACACCAAAGAGGGTACTCAGGGCCAGTCATAAACTGGTTCTGACATTGGCCTGTACCAGAGACCCTCCAAAAAGAATGAGAGTCCTAGCAGATCTACCTAATACATGGAAACAAACCCAAACAGGCAGCCAACATGAGGAGACAAAAAAACAAGCCTCCAATGAAAGAACAAGAGAAGTCTCCAGAAAAAGAGCTAAATGAAATGGAGATAAGCAACCTATCAGATATAGAGTTCAGAATACTGATTGTAAGGATCTCAACAGCATGAAAAAAGGTATGGAAATTAAGAATGACATAGCAGAGCCCAGCCGGGTGTGGCTCAGTGGTTGAGCATCGACCTAGAATCCAGGAGATCGTGGTTCGATTCCCGGTCAGGGCATATACCCGGGTTGCAGGCTAGGCAGCCAATCAATGACTCTCTCATCATTGATGTTTCTATCTCTCTCTCTCCCCCTTCCTTTCCTCTCTCTGAAATCAATAAAGATATATTTAAATAAATTTTTTTAAAAAAAGAATGACATAGCAGAAATAAAGAATACATTGGAAGGAATAAACAGCAGATTAGAGGAAGCCGAGGATCAGATCAGCAAATTAGATGACAGGGTAGAAAAAAATCACTCAATCAGAGATCCAAAAAGAAAAAACAATTAAAAAACAAGAGGACAGTCGAAGGGAGCTGTGGGACAACATGAAATGCAACAATATTTGCATCATAAGAGTGCCAGAGGAGGTTGAAAGGAAGCAAGGGTTAGAGACACTGTTTGAAGAAATAATGGCAGAAAACTTCCCTAACTTGGTCAAGGAAAAAGTCACACAAGTTCAGGTGGCACAGAGAGTCCCAAGCAAGAATCCAAAGAGGCCCAAGTCCAGACACATCATAATTAAAATGCCAAGAATTCAAGACAAAGAGAGAATCTTAAAGGCAGCTAGAGAAAAGCAATATGTTACCTACAAAGGAGGTCCCAGAAACTCTCCAAGCCAGAGGGAATGGCATGAATTATTAAAGGTAATGCAAATAAGGATCTGAAACCAAGACTGCTCTATCCAGCAAGATGGTGAAATAAGAGCTTCCCAGACAATAAAAGGCTAAAGGAGTTTATCACCACCAACCTAGCATTACAGGAAATGTTAAAGGAACTGCTGTAATTAGAAGTAGAAATAGAGAGAGAAACATAGAGATAAAGAATTAAAATGGCAATGGATAAGTGTCTATCAATAATAACCTTAAATGTAAATGTATTAAATGCTCCAATAAAAAGGCATAGGGTGGGAATACTACGCAGCTGTAA